CCCATAAACGTTTTGGCAGACAGCAACCTAAAAAGCAAAAAAAGAAAAAACGAGAATCAAACAAACCCAAAGCTCATTGAAAGCTTCGAAGATGAAGTTGAGAGTACTCGGAATGTGGTCCAAGAAAAACAGAATTTCACACAGCACCAAAACGAAAAAAAAAATAGAAATGAAGATATCAATAAAAAGGAAAATAAGGAGTATGGTCATGGGAGTACAGTTAGCATGGTTGTCGGCATGATCGCAAGTATGAATATGGTCGAAGCAAAGAAGGAAAAAAAAATAGCATGAACAGTAAAATGGGATTACTTTACCGTTGTGTCTATAGTGCCATCCCATTCACGTTTTTAATAGAAGTAAGATATTGCCTCTCTTTTTTTAAAGGACCTTGCATCATGTACATCAAGATTTACATAAGGGATTATATAATGCCACGTGGAGCTCTATCATTTGTCAGTTTTAAATACATTCAACTTTTTCAACTGCTTATGTACTATTTTTATGGATAAGTAGCAAAATCCTTTTTTAAGGTAATGATTTGAATTAAGACGTGTTTTTCCAGTCATTATCATGGTTTATTTGAGTGTATAACTATACATAGTAGTACAGTTCGCTTGTGGATTGTTTTTAAATTTATTTATACTGAAACAAGCTTTATGTTCTTAATTTATCTTAGAGCTACACAAAATAATCGCAAACCAAACCGAAATCGTTTATTTTGAAATCGTTGGTTCGAGTTCATGTGGACACGCGGTTTTTCCCCTCAAATCGAACCACAAATTCAAAATGGTTTGGTTTAGGTTTCAGTTTTCAAAAATCACACAAAATCGAACTGGATCATTTTTAAATTTTTTTAATAAAACATTAATTTTATTAACTTATAAATTTTACGATTTTCACTTTTCAAAAAAAAATCAACTTAACAATACAAGTTACAACCATCTTATTAAAATAATCATAGAAAATAAATTAGGATCATTATTATTGGTCAATGGTTTAACAAGTTCACAACAGATGTTCTTACCTGGTATCTAAATTAAACTAAAATTATTCACAAATCATATAAATTGAAAAGAAAAAACGTATATTTTTGACAATCCAAATCATAATTCAACAAAACTACCACAACAAATCATGTCCAAAACTTTAGAAGCCCTAACATAAACTCTCATTTCTCAAATATTTGACGCTTATCTATCACTGCTGAACAAAATGTGATTGTCAATGGTAAATTAACAGTCACCTTTTGCTTATCAATCTGCTAATTTCTACAGTGTCGCATATTTCTCTTTCCTCTGTCGATAAGTCTTAGATTCTCATGTAATCTATTTTTTATTGTTCTTTCTTTTATTTGTTATTTTTGAACTTATTATATACTTATAAGCTCTGGTTTAAATAGAAAAATGATTGTTTGTGTGTTTAGATGATTAATAAACTTGTTTGTAGTTTGAAAAAAAACGAAGGATAGAGCATATTGTTGTGTAAAAATGTTAAAGTTTACTAACTAATATTACCACCTTCTACTTTAATAAAGTAGTTAGAGAATGAAATTCGTTAATTCCTAGTAAACGTGAACTCTATTAATCTTTGTACATCAAAAAATATCATGTTCAATCCTTATTTAACATCGCATTTGTAAGACGAAAGGAGTTTTAACTAAATTATAATTGCAGAATATGAGTCTATTTTTACCAACCGCTATGTGGCAATATAAAAGACAAATATGAAAAGGTAAATAAAAAGGAAGAAAGATATATTCATCTATTAACATATCTTAGCAACCAACTTTGAAAATAATTTATATATGGATTTCACGGTAAATATGAATGTAATTTAACGTTTAACATTATTAATTTTTGTTTAAATTTATACGTTAACTTATTTTAAATATATTACTGTAATATGGACAGGTAAACTACGGGTTAAAATCACAAATTATGGTTTGGTTTGCTTCAAAAATAAAATGGTTTGGTTAGATTTGAAAAAATTTCCAACTGAATGAAATGGCTTGAATTGAAAATAAAGCACAAACCATCCAAATCGAACCACGTTCATCCTAATTTATCTTACTTGTTGTTGCATATCTACTACTACTATATTCTATGGATCAATTTATGATTAAAGGAATATCTAACCCAACTTTTGGAATATCTCACTAATTTCACCATTCTCATTGAACTAAGCACATTTAGTGTTTGCTTGGCTAAGCTTTTAAGTTTCCCATACATAAAATAAGTTTCGATAATTCCTGAATATAGCCTATGTTTGGGTAACCTTATAAATTACTTATAATCTACTTATAATACAGAATGAATGAGCGAGTTCCACAAAATGTGAGGATAGTAATTGTAAATGTGTAGTTAAAATTGAAGTTAAACTTTGATCGAAAATTGTAAATTTACCTAAACATAAACATAATTAAGACAATAAATTTATACCACTTAGGATTTTTCAGTATGATACATTTTGATTTTTGTCAACATAACGGATAAAAACTATTAATTTTAGATTTTGTCTAGGTCATACCACAAATTTTTACATGTATAGATAAAATAAAATAAAAAAATAGTACGAGAGAGCGGCTTCAAAGTTCAAAAACATTTTTAAATTGTTGAAAAAGGAAATAATTTGTTTATTGACTAATATTATCGACTTCTTTTGAATTCAACTTTCAAAGAATACACATTTGATTAGCTTCGTTAATTGCAATTTTAATCACAATAAAAAGTATAAATCAACGAAGACGGCCCTTCTTGCATTTGTTTATCATTTGTGTGATGCAGTCCTTTTATCTATTTATTGAAAAATGTGCACAAAAAATTCTAACGTTGTGTACTTTTTTTCTGTCCCAATTGGATGCAGCTTTCAAACTAACAAGCCGTTCATCGTACATGTACATTCTTCAATCACGGGAAGTATCGAAATATGATCCTCAAATATATATCCAACTTTCGGAGTTTATTTTGTTGCTTAATTTTGGTTGGTTTCTATTTTTGAGAGTTGATTATGCGATCAACTAGTGAATTGTTAGAGATTAGGGACTAGTTCGCTAATGAAGCCATTGATTGAAGATTAATGCTAAAAATTTACCTAATATTACCTTTGGGGTCTGTTTGATTGCGAAAATGGAATTTGGGTGGAAAAAAAATGAATACCAGGGAATTGAATTACCTAAAAATTATTTTCCTGAGAATTGTAAATTATTGTGTTTAATTGGTTTAATTTTCTATGTGAAAAATGTTGAAGTAAAAGTGTTTTTTGGTGTTCGTTTGACTTTGTTTTACATGGAGATTGTCAATTTAAGGGATATCCTCTTTTACAATTGTTCCTAAAATTTGTTCCCATTGCCATCAATTAAAAAAAAAACAAAAAGCAAAAAAAAAAGGTGGAAAACCAAAAACCACCTACCCCTAGGAAAATAAAAGATGGAAAATCACGCTTTAAGGTGTTGTACCTAGAAATTAATGGAAAATCAATTCCCTGAAAAAAAATTTCAATCAAACAGACCAAAAGTGAAAGTGGGAATTCGAATTCCAAGTTCCATGGAAAATTTCGTGCAATCAAACGGGGCCTTAATATTTCTACATTTCTCCTTCTAGCCATCATCGATGTTTTTACTAGTACTTTTTCGCGGTAACTCCATCCTGACCCCCGCTATCCATGTCACCTCTGCAACATGGCGTGACGTGGAGTTTGGTAAAGGAAGGAATAACCATAATGGCATGTTTACTGCAAAAAATGTTGGATTTTTCCTCTAGTACTGGGAAAATTTACAGAATTTATATAAGACTTTAAAATAAAAAAAAAATCATGTCCGTTTGTGTTTTATTTTTTTCCATGTTTGAATGATATTTCGATATCTGTGTTTGTGAAAAATTTCCTATGCAAAAATTATGTACTTATAACATAACTCAAAATCGTTTCACTAGAATGTGGTCGATATTAGAAGAATGTTATAAAAATAGTAAAAAGTTTATTCTAATTTTAAATTGGGGAATGGTACGTAGAGAAATTTTACATAATATAAAAAAAAAAGGGTTTTGTTTTACATATTTTCTTGAATAATTATTTAATTATTTGGTTAAGCAAAGCGAATCTCAAACATTGCGGTGATGCGCACGTGTGGGCACGCATGCAGCGACCGGCGACCGCACACCAGAGTAAATCTTCAACCCAAAGTGTCAAAACTTTGACCATTTTGGTCAGCTTAAAATTTCACAGAGATAAGATGCGTAATAAAATAAGTTTTTAGGCTTCCTTTTTTCTTATGCTTTTTTTTTTTTTTAATCGAAGAAAAAGTTCCTAAATTATAAAATGGAGCCCCCAAGTTTTAAACTCTATTTGAAAAAAAAATTTAAGTGAATTAAAAATAACTTCTATCATACATGAGTTTAACAACATATTTAAAATTATTGCCCCTTATTATTCACACATTTTGTGATCATCGCTACTATTTCTCCTAACAAGTTACTGATAATCTTTTCCGAACAGAGGCTAAGTTTCGAGTGATAAAAATCAATTTGACTATGAAAATTATTTCTATTTAATTAGAGAGTTTGAATACTATAACAAAGATAAAGAACTTAGAAATAATTCGGGTCGATATTTAAATTGAATACGAAAATTAATGAAAAATCCTCATTTCCCATTTAGTTAACAATTAAATAGGACAAAAATCTTCATTGAAGAAAAATTAAGACCAACCAAGTGGGTAGATAATATTCCCCATTTAGACAATGTAATTGTCTAATTCATTCCAATTTAGGCAATTCGTTAATTTCAAACACAGTCATAGACATGACGCTTGCTATCATAAAACACCACGACATCTTTATAATATCTTTAGTTGAATTTCTTAAAACCCACGTGACCAAAAATACTCTATTCAATTAGTTTTCTCATTTCTGTATCTTCCCAGAAACTCGCATTCTTCGACCAAATGCGAATGCATTGAATTACAAGTAAAGTACAAAGATTTCACTATATATGTTCATGAACCTTTGTCAAATGTTCTGTATCTCTTTCTCTGTCGATCCTAAAAAAATTATTGAAAAGCTTCGATATTTGTAAGAATACGAGCTATGATCTACGAAAATGGCGATTATGAAGCAGACCTTGAGCTTCTTGAATCAATACAAAGACACTTGCTTGATGACTCTCAAACTCCGATAAGATTCTCCGCTGAAAATTATTCAGATGAGATGTTTCTATTTGGTGTAGGCAACGATGCTTCAAGTGCGGGATGGCTGCAGTCTATCTCCGCCATTTCTACGGAGGCACCAGCAGAAAGGGTGGAGGAGATGACGGTTGTGAAGGTGGAGCCGTCGATGGAGGTCCCTAGGGTGAAGAATTATAGAGGTGTTAGGCGGCGGCCGTGGGGAAAATTTGCGGCGGAGATAAGGGATCCGTCGAAAAATGGGTCACGAGTATGGTTAGGGACGTATGAGACAGCGGAGGATGCTGCAGTGGCCTACGACAGGGCTGCTTATCGTATTCGGGGATCGCGTGCATTGCTGAATTTTCCGCACAGGATAAATACTGGTGAGCCGGAGCCCGTCCGCGTTACATCGAAGAGGACTGCCATCTCGCTGGATCGGATTTCGTATTCGGGAGCATTGGAAAATGGGGCACATAAGAAGCGGAAGAAGGTGGCAGAGGCACCGGCGGTGCAAAATGGGTGCTGAGTGTATAGCATTTTCTAGTGTCTTGTTTGGCTGATTTGCTATTTGTATTCTTTCTTTCAATCACTATCATATTCTCTTCCTTTCTTAAGAAATGGAGATCTGTATTTTATGTATTGATACTACTTGCTAAATTTCACGCCGATCAAAAATGAAATAACTAAGTATAAGAGCTTGACTAAAGTTCAAACAAATCATCCAATTTACCTGAAACTCGGATTTCAAAATTGATATTTTCAAATGAATCACTATTAATATCTATTCATAGCTTATATTTGCAAATCAAGAAGAAATCCTTAAGATACTTCTGAAAGGTTACATTGTTACCACAGTATCTCTGGATGCACGTCGAAGTCTAGAGATATAGCCATTGTTTGGTTAAAATTTTAATATAAGTTAAAGTTAACAATTAATTTTAATCATACGTTTTAACCACACATTTCATCAACCATTTTCAAAATCTGCTAAAATATGTTTAATCCCCACCAGACAAGGGCATAGTAAGAGAAATTTATTCCAGGGCAAATCATTGCTAGTAATCAGTACTCGACGGGATTAATGGAAGTATGTTTCACATCTAGAATAGCCTTCTCCCACAAAAATGATGTTATTAACTTAAATGAATCCATTGCTCAATTTCAAGCTGCTTCAAAGGATGCCCAAGCCTTCTAAGGACCATTCCAATTTCCTCTAGTTTCTATTGCATTGGGATACTGTTGGAAATTTGTCGTCTCACACTGAGCCTTTCTGGTAGCCTTGGCATATTCTTTCCGGTTCAACGATAATGCTATTTCACTTTTCAAAGACTTGGATTGGATTCTATGTGGCTTTTCAATATTCTCTATGTTCGCTTCTCTGCTACTGCCCTTTCTCGTTGAAACAAAACCATTTTCTGATAACCCGATCCAGTTTGCATATTGGAAATGAGTTTTGGAGGGAGGGGTTCAAAATTAAAGTTGAAAGTTAACCACCCTCAATCAATAACTTCCATACACACCCACTCCACGTGAGAGAAAAAAAAAATAAAAAAGAAGCAAAAATTCGGGTTCCTTCAAAGAATGAAAAATAGATGTGGGTGGAGGCTTGATCTTTTGGGAATATAACATCTCCAATTGGGTTTTTGGACTGTGAACAACAAACTTCTTGCTTCGAAATCAAGTTTTTGACTAAGAAGCGGGTTCAAGACGATTTTGAAGGCAAGCAATCAATAGGCAAGTAACTTCACCTCATTTTGGGACATTCAAGTAAGTTTTACAATTTAAATTCGGTTAAAAGCATGCAATCACGTTTTACACTTGGTTCCCTCAATATTTTCTTATTCATTCCTTCTTTCAAACAGATTTTTCATGTATTTTTCTTTAAAGTATCTGTTTCGCGCGGGTTAGTCGCTAACAATTCAAAGAGATCAAACGATTGTGTAAGAGACAAACCTCTTGAGACAAAGTCTCAAAAAGGGGCGTTTTTATTGGCGATGACTTTACAATCGGAAAGTAAAAACAGAATGCCTCCAAGAGGCGCAAGCACACGAGTTACTGTAAAAGAAGTGTTTAAATCTAAACTAAGAAATTGAAAGTTACATATTCTCTGTTTGAGAGTGTTTGATTCGGGGTTCTTGGCTCTATGTCTTTTCTTCCTTTTATATTCTTTGGGTGATTTCTTCGTGATCAACTGTTTAAGAAACCGCTTGATCGCTCTATAACTGCCCACTTTCCTTGTAGTGGCCAACTTGTCATGGAACTGCCTTCTCTAACTGCTGTCACTACTTTTGTCGTTCAACCGTATTCAATTGAATTCCTTGAATCGTGGAACGTGATAGGACTACCCAATAACTACTTTATTAACTGCACTTTTGGGTAACCATAACTTCTTATGTTTGCTAAGATGTTGGGCGACTTGAATATTTGGACGAGAGCAGAGTCACAGCTCTGGACGACTGCATGACAATTCATTCGCTCAAATCTTGGGCGACTTGCAACCTTGGGCGATGGTATTTCCGCGTTCATAGGCTTCCTTACTTGTGCCTTTATCCTACATTGCCTAACTGGGTCGTTCTTTGGGCTATTTGATTTTAGAGATCTTCCAATTGGGCTTCATTCCTTGGGCCATTCGAGTTAGGCTAAACTTTTTGTGTGTCAACAATTACCCCCCAATATGGCAGAATTAATATCAATTATTAATTTCTGCCATATTCACTTTGTGTTTCCCAGCAACATTCGAAATTTTCAAGAATTTCAATCATTGTTTTCTTCCATAGTCTGAAAAGGTACGACATTTGCAAATCCTTATAACCCCCAAATACGCTATTTCATTGCACCACTAAATCACGTCTCATTTTTTCGCGCCTCTCTCGCAATATTACTGTTCATCTCCTTGCTTCTCTGTTACGTAACTCTGCAAAACTCTATTTCATCCCTAATGGCTGCTTCACAATCTCAATCTAGTGACTCCTTCAATTTCGAAGACTTTCAGAAACTCCTTACTCGGCCATATGTAACTCTGAACTTTCTTGCACCGGCCAATGTCAAACTCAATGAGTTCTATCTAGGTCCTTCATTCAACAATGCCGAGGCCATCGAACAAGCGACGGTCCGTCAGCTGTTCCCTTGTACTCATGGTCCTCTGTTTCTAAATTCTTTGCCGCTGGGGCCACTTCGCGAAAGAGGTATTCGCACTGGGCCTAAATTTGATGTCGTTTTCGTAAATGGCATGCTCACCTTGTGGACCATGGTCCTACTAAGTTAATTTTTGATAATGCTAGGATTTCTGATTTGTTAGAAATCTCTCTTCAACCCCCTATTTTTGACCCAGTACTTTTTCCAATCGCTTTAAGTTTTTGGTCTGCTGAGTATAATACTTTTGTTTTTCCTCTCGGTCCCATGTCCATTACCATAAGGGATATTGGGGCCCTAGTAAATCTGCCACCTTTGGGCGATAACATTTTCCCTAGTATCCTAATTTTGTTGCCGCCCCAAAATTTGGTAAAGGCCTCACCGAGTCTTATTCAAGTCTACACACCCTTCATAACCACTCGAGCGCTGAGCCTTCCCATACTGAGCAAGTGACCTTTCTTCTGATTTGGCTTTGTAAATACATTTTGTGTGTGCCAAGTATAAAGCCCTCCTTGAACTATTTACCCATAGCGCACGAATTGGCGCGTGGTAGGCCTCTGAATTTATGTTTTTCTTTTTAGCTGCCCTCTATAGAGGCATGGCTTCTCTTCAATCCCAATTGAAGAATGATGCATCTCCCACTAGCAGTAGACCTCTTTGGTTCGCTCAAATGTGGTTGAGAGTTTATTTTCCATCGCTTGGTGCTCCATCTTTTTCCAGCCCTTCTTCTAGCTGCTACGGGCTAGTCATTGAGCCCCTAACTCCTGTAAATATGTCCAGAAGGAACATTTTTTCATTCTTTTATATTTTGGATTCAATCCCTTCCTTCTTTCCTTTTCCTCCCTTTTTTGACTCCAGATTATGTGCAACCCCCATCCACTCTGGATAATGCGAACACTTCCTTGTTTATTTGGATTCAATTTTTGACCGGGAGGGAGTTGTTCCATGATATCTTGACTGGGACTAATGCCAAGGCTGGGGTAGAGATATATGCTCCTCAATTTTTTACTTGCCAACTTGGTTTTGGCCAAACTTGGCCCGTTCCTCCTTGCTATTCAAGGAATTTGATAGACCGCTTCCATACTATTAATAAGACGGAGGCAGAGGCTATAAATACTCGCAATCTTCTTTTGACGAGCAACTTCTCATTAGCCCCTTCAATCCTAGTCGTACCATCTATCCCCTTTTTAAACGACTTTGGCCGTCAGTGAAACGCAGATTGTTTGCAATTGATGCAAATCGTGCTTTCTATTCACTGGACCAGCCAAACATTTCTTCCACCTCTCCTGTTTTGGTCACTCCTGTGTCCATTAGGAGTCCCTCTTCCTCTGCTCGTGCTAAACAATCTGCCCGTCCATCGACTTCTCTTCCTGCCAAGCCCACTGCAGCTAAAAGTGCCCCAAGTCGCAAACGGCCAGCCTTAGCATCTCCCATTTTGGAGGATGATGTTGATGATGATGATGATATCCCTCTCATTTTCAGGAGAAAGGTAATTAAATCGGTTTACTCATATGCATACATTTCTATACTTGAGGCTTTTCCATGTGTTGATAGTTTATTTGGACCTCTCAGAAAAATTCAACCTCTCCCTTGAAGGCTTTGGTGTTGGCAGCTCCTGCTCCATCATCCTCTGCTGAGGCTAATTCGTCCAAACCTACTGATGAAAGGGCTACGCTTAAAGAGAAACCTTCAGTCCCAGAATCTTCATCACAACCAATGGACGAGCCACCTTCTTCCCAGGGCGTTGACCCCCCAAACATCGAAGTAGAAGGTAATTCAATTTTTTGATGCTTTACCTTTGCTTATGCTATTGATTTCTGATTTGTTGCTTTTGAGCTCTGCAGATGCTCCCATGAGTCTGCCCGTTGTGGCAACATCTTCTTGCTTAGACAAGGGGCAAGTCAACACATCTCGCCCTGCTTCAACCAGTTGTCCTTTTGCTTATTCAGAGGACGATATGAAGTTCCTCAAGCAGTTGATATTTGAGTATGTGTCCTTCATGGATATGGACATTGGAAGGGCCAGTGCTGCCAGACACAAGGATAAACTTGAGCATTTGAATGCGAAGTTGGATCAATCACTGATGCTTCCGTCGCTCAATCTTTCTGCCGATTTTAAAGCGACATTGAAGGTTGTCCACTCCGAGATCCTTTCTTTGCTGGCCAAGAATACCGCACTAAAGGCCAAAAGTACTCAGTATCTTCGAGCCGTAACTGAGAAAGAGTCTTTGCGCATGGAGATTAACAAGGCTAAGGACAAGTTGAAAGAAAA